GTAGTTTCAATTATATTTTACGTGGTAAAACATAATTATGAAATCTTGGTTGAAGGTTTCAAAAGTTGAGATACAAACCGGTAATAACCATCGAAGGACTTAATGATAATAAATGATGAATTAAATATTACTTGGTATGATTTACTTTTTAATCGGTAGAAATATCCTCCTTTAATCTTTTTGGGATAATACTTCAATCACTATTAACTGTATCTTGATACAAATACCAACTAATAAGTAGATTAAACATTTTATAAGATTAAGTATGGAAAGGCTCCATCCTCATCTTACTTAATGTTTTATGGATTTGAAGTCTATATTGGACTAAAGCTTCTAAACCCAAAATCTACTAAATACATATTTGTATAATACTCTAAATGTGGCTTAGATTGTAATATGCAAACCCACCAAGAATAGGTTCTTTTATTCTTGTGAAAGCTAAGTTAGTAGAAAGCAAGCTTCTAATGACAAAGCAAGTAGGAGGTACATGGAACTTAAAATAGCTCAAAAACCATAACCTTATATAGTAATAGTTGGTACTAGTTTTAACAAGGATTGTTAAACTTGAATAATATCTATTCACAAACACAAATTGTTCGCATTAATGGTCGAAATCATCTATGACTTGAGAAATGTGGAATCTCTCATTGATGAGCTTTTACTGATGGTTTCTGGAAAATCCATCAAATACAAGGATCTTATGTCAGATCTCGAATCTGATAAATGATTTAGGGTCATGAACATGAGATGCAATCCATGTATGAGAATCAAGTATGGGCTTGATTAAATTTGATCCTTATAGCAAGGCTAGAAGTAGTAAATAATTCTTCTAGAAAGAATAATTTACATGGATAACCATACACATTTAAAGCATGACTTGTAGTAAAAGGATTTCTCCTACTCATGACATTGACTATGGTCCTCATCATACTCATGACATTGAGTGTGATCAAACCTTTTTCACAAGTAGCTATGACTAGATCAATAAGGATATTGTTTACTATTAATTCATATTCTTAATATGAGATATAGTAAATATATTTCAAGAAAGACTGCTTTTCTTAATAGACATCTACTGGAAGATATCTATATAGATTAGCCTGGAGGTTTTCTTAATCCATGTTATCCCAACAAAATGTGTAGAGCTTAAGATCCACTTTTTGATATAAAGTAAGCATCTAAATGTTATAATCATCATTTTATGTAAAACCATAAGGTGTGTTTTATATTAAAATGAATAGAACATGTGTGTTTACTAAGAACTAGTGGGATCATAGTATAATACCTAATCTTGTATGAATAAGACATACTTAATCATTTGAAATCATATTCTAACTAAGCAAGGTCATTTTTACCTTGACTCGGAAAGTGTTTCTAAATTGAAAAACTTTAGAAGGAGAAGATACATTCTTGGAATGTTAAATCTGTAAGGGATAGATAAAATGAATGTTAAAAGTTTCATGTCCTTATACATATATGGGTAATATCTTGAAAAGGATCAAGACACAAGATTCTTTTGGAGAATTCTTGGCATTGTCATATGGAATCATTTTGAGCTAGCCTCAAAAGTACATAGCTCATAGGATTGAACTAGATAAAATGATTTATATTCTTTTTGCTTGGAAAATGAATTCATCATTTACGCCATATATACATAGGATATGGTATTTGATCATGCAGTAAGCATGATATAGGATACTAACTGAATACATGGTTAAGTTACTAGATGACTAAGAGAGCATTCTAAGAGTACTTTAGAAGAACTAAGAGACTACCTATGTGATAATCAGTTTATAAAGGATATTTATGGAAAGAGCTGAACAAGATGTCAGTTTCTAAACAGATATAAATAATTATGAATTATAATTGGGTTTTGACTTCATTATGGAATGAAGGGTAAGTTTTGTTAGAATGAGGTCCAAGCAAAACAAAATGACATAATCAACTGCAAAATAAGAATACTTTACTTTAGAAGTTGAATTCAAATATGATTGGATAAATGTGATCATTGAGAAACTATGTTGATTTTTGCCATTCGAGGATCACATAGAAATCTTTGTGACTTCTAGAGTATACTTAATCAAGCTAAAAAGATTCTATGTCACGAGAGAACACCAATCATATTCTCCAAGATATTTAACTATACCTAGAGTAAAGTTGAGTATGGAGATGAGAGTATTCATAGAATTCACACAAATTAAAATTTTGACATATCCATTGATAAAGTCATTCTTTTGAGCTAAGCATGATTGGTCACACTTCATCTATAAGACATTATTATTCTAGAAATGGATTTTTGATTTGGATTTAATATTTGGATTGGAACATTATAAAAACAACTTATTAGATAATGTTATGATATATTAGGATATACTCATCACATTAATACTTGTTTTGTTCTATGTTAACATGTTTAATCCATGAATAATGTTATTATTCTAAAACTTCATAGTCGGTTATAATTGTGGGAGAAATTATGAAGTAAGACTAATAAGAATTGGATTGTTGGCTCTCACTAGATGAAAGTAGGCAAGTGGTTGTAACCAAGTTTCATAGGTACTTGTAAGAGACCTAATATTGAACTGACCCGCATCAAGATCATCTCATGGATCGCTATCATGAATGATACTTGATTAAAAGGTACTATCTTTGTATCCTTAACACATGAGTTACATAGTAGGACTTAAGTGTCGGGAGTACTATGCTTGATATGGTCAAATGCTGTTCCATAAACAGGCGGTTATAAAAACCATTTTCAGGTATGGTGTGAACTATACAAGAGGCTTATGTAGTCAAGATGGGATTTGTTCATCTTATGTGTTGAGAGTTAGACATCTAAGGCGCCTTACCAAAAGTTGAACAACCAATGAGATTGATTGTGATTCGTATCTCATGTTCAACATGATGTTTGTAGCAAAGGGATAATTGATAAACTTACTTTATACACCAATTATAGCTTTGAGTTTTTTTTGGGGAATTGGGCATTGATAGAATGGCACAAACAATCATATGGTCTTAGGGGTAGTGAAATGTTGCTAGACGTTCAACACTATCTATATCAGTCCAATATGAGTCTTGCATAAGTGAGAGATTGAAAGATCCAGTATGCTCAAGAGTCATATTAAAGTGATATTGCTAAATAACATATGATACTAATGGTTCACACTAATAACAACTTGATACAATTGATTATTTATTAGAAATTGATTTTAATAAATATACAATAAAACTCTTATAATTAAATTGGAATTTTTCATGGAATAATTTTCATTAGCAAGTAACATTATATTATTTCATATGGTATGAATTAATAAGTCATGCACAACTTTTTGGACCATTTCAAAACCTTTTGTCTTCTACTCAAAAGATAAAGTTTATACTTTACACACCTTGAGTTTATAAAATTTAAACTAAATTTCATCTTCTTTATGCAATTTTCGAGATTTGCATAAAAAGAAGAAGTGTATGACTTGTTTAATCATGCTTTAAAGGCATGCAGACATTTTTGTCTAATGTTGAAGGAACTAATGTTTATTAACTTCACTATATGCATATAAATAAGAGGGCTTGCACTTGGTTTCTTTGCTCATTCCTTCTTTGAGGCATATGGCTGAAACCTCTTATCTTCCTCTCTTTCTCTCTAGTTTTGGTTAGAAAACTTGAAGAACACTTGCATCTTCAAGCCTTCTTTAAGTTCATATTGGTTATGAACTTAAAGATTAAGGGTTTAAGAGTTTTAGACTAACATCTACATCAAGTTGAGTTATTGTTGGTGTCTCAAAGGTTCCACATTCTTTATCAACTTCCAAGCCTCCCAAGAGGACCAAAATAACTACAAATGTTGTTATTCCTTCACTTCTTCTTTGGTTGGTGTTTTAATCATTCTATAACTTGCAAGAAGATCTTTGGTGGGTATAAAACGTTTATGTTATTTCAAAAAATTAAAGTCTTCCGTTGCAATATATTTTTAGTTTATGAAAATATTTTTGAATTAAAACCCAACAGGTGCTTGAGCCACAACTGTTTGAATAGTTTGAGATAAAGAAACGCATTGAAAATCTCCATGTTAAAAAGGGATTCGAATAAAATCAATAAAAACTTCAGAGATTTAGGGTTTCAGAACCACAAAAAACAGATCTTATGAAGACACGATTAAAAAGAAATCGAACCAGATGAATGATTCATGTTTAAGTACCACTTTTTGGATTAAAAACACGATCAATGAAAAGCAAACAATGCAAAATCATAAAGAACACAAGCTGAATAACGTTTCGATAGTTGGTTGATTGTAACACGCTTAAATGTTCATGACGAACATAAGTTGTGAAATACGAAGGATTACAAATGCACACTAATCCTAGGGCCTCACACAACTATATATACAGTTACAAAAGGTGGTGGGTAAGACAATCAATCATTTATGGAATGATATGTTGAGCATAGTGTTTAAGCAAATATCAACAAAAAAGATTCTATGAGATATGACATGATATACTCATACATTCTATAACACGTATAGATTTCAAAGGAGCCTTCATATGATGAGGGTCAAATACTTCAAAACCATAAATACAAAATAAAGTTAAAGCTCGAAACATAAAAGACTCAGAAAATACATTTCGAAACTACACAGACATGATAATTTGATTTCCAATACATGGGTTGTGAGTTCGTGGCCGAGTAGTCCAAGATATATATAAACCCTAAAAAGATTGTTTTGCCTCATTTTTCAATTTCAAGGCTAAAAATAATAATTTGATGGCCGGAAATGAATTAACCGATTAACAGTGTTGTAAGGATTTTTATCTTTATCTTTTTTGTTTGTATTTTATCATATTGGCTAAAACCTAATAGTAATTTGTATTTAGTGTGTCCATTATTTAGAAAAAATTGGAGACAACCACATATGGGGTTGAGACCGGCCTTTCTCTAGCATCATGGTGGCTGATGGTGAGGTGGACAGACCACGCCCTTCTCCAGCGTGATCACTCCCGATAACCTTAAAAGTTAAACCCAATTCATTCATATACTCTCATACCTTTTACAATAAGATTCAAAGACACATTGTACCTCTTCCACCATGATTCAAATATAGTAGAAAGAAAAAAAAAACTAATTTATAGAATATTTTTGCAAGAAAAAGTGGCCAAAAGTAACATAAAAACTCATTGACCTAGATCACAACGTTACACCATTGATGTATAATTCATCATAAGCTCATAAGTATCAGGCTTGTTTAGTATTAGTCTTAATGAAATTGCAAATGCTCCATGAATACATGTGATTCCTACTCCTGCTGGATGCTTACATTCTAGCCACTTCCATCAAGATTTCCATTAGAAGCAAGGTGAGCCTGATATTGCTACAAAAACAAAACCCAACACAAAATCATTTATAACCATATTCAACATATTAACTACTTATAAAGTTCAAGTTACTTACAGCGTGATACGCATACGGTGATTTCCCTTGACGTTCAAAATGCTTGGCCATTACAGACCATTCAATCGGGCCCCATTCTTCCTCTTCGAAGCAATTCCCAAGTGCAGATTTATACAACTAACCACAAACAAAAGCACGAATCCAATAAACAAACAATTACACCATTTTGATGTATAATAATATACAACTTACTTTAGTAGTATCAGTCAAAAGCTCACTCCCTGCAGGATAAGATGCATAAAACTGATCACCTCTTGAGAATCCAGCTCGTGTCCTGTAATGAAAAGGAATAGACAAATTATAAAACCCAAGAATTTCATCTGATTAGGGAACGATGAATTCGTCTCAGTTTCTGTTGAGATACCAATAACTAATCAATGTAAAACAATCATATATTTAGATATCTGGTTTGCATATGAAATCATAACAGTAACAGTATACGTACGTGTTGGAGTTGTAGGCATAGCTAATGAGCGCCGAGAAAGAAAAGAAAATAGTGTATCCCACCGTTCTCCGGAACTTCTGAATCTTTAGAATTTCATTCCATCCATCGTACAGTCCACTCATCTTCGATGACTGATCATAAACTGGGAACACTTGGAAATTAATTCTTGTAATTTGAAAAAACTCTAGTGAGGCATTTCGTCGAACAATTAGTATGCACAAATGACTACAGCTTGTCTCGCCATAAAGTAATTCTACTTTGTAGATTCAGAAATTGGGGAGAAGAAAGACAAGGATGTGAAATCAATTCACGTCTGATATGTAAAGTAGTGGTAGATCGACCTGAATTTTCAAAGTGAACTGAAGCGGAGGACGAAGGCTGCGTTCTTGAATCGCTTCCAACTGGTTGCGATCGGCGGATCCTTGTTGGTAAAAGAATCCAGGTAGTTATATTTTAGTCCTTGAAGATTTGGATTTTGTCCACTTTGTGCCTCATACTTTTTTTTAACCGATTTTATTGAAACAGGATCACGTCCATCCATACCGGTCACCACTTGCACTTGTAATTTACAGATCATGAATAGTAAAGTCTCCACCGAGTTTCACCCACCGTTTTCCCCGGCCCGCTGCTCTTCCGTCACTTCCGTGCTTGCTTCTTACAACATTTAATTTTTGGTCCAAATAAACAAAAAACAAAAAACTAAGCACTAAAAAAATTAGTATTTTTTTTAACCGCATTTTCATTCTCATCGGTTCTATTAGTATTAGTATTGGAAGTACTACTTTTGTTATAAATTTATGGGTTAATGTCACTGTAGGCTACTAAATTTTTTGTTTTTGGTTGAAAATGTCTTTTATGTTATTTTTTTTATGGCATTCTATAGGCATAAAATCTCTCTTTTAACTTATTAAAAGGGTATTAGTTACTGGTTTCACAAAGTAAAAACTAAAAAGGGTATAAGGTACATGCGGTTGTGGACATTGTTTCGTTGCACAACGAATTGGAGTTTTGGCATGCAACCGTCCCGTCCTCGTGAATCCTCTCAATTGCTCCTTTTTTTTGTATTTTTAAAATTAAAATTCTCTTATAAATACCTATACATACTAATTTAAAATCACATGTTTCCTTTCAATTTGATTCGATTCTCCTCTACTTTCTTAACTTTTTTTTTCTTCCAATTTCATTCCATTTTATTTTATTCTCTCTACATTCCAATTTAAAATTTAAAAATGAATGTTATTCATAGATCAATCATATTTGTAGAATGGTCTGAGATCAAAGAAGTAGTGTTGACTTAAGCATACATTGTATACATTGACACTTTCGAGAATAGGAATATGAGTCAACATAGATCGTCATATTGATGACGATAGTTCTTAATCAATTTAAGCAACAACTTCGGGGGTTTATATCGTTCAACACATCATTTTTTTTTCTTCAAAATGGAAAGATCTGTAGGGAATAATGAAAAAGTTTAATATTATTTTATGTCACAAGATTAATACCCATAAACCCAGAGTTTCCAACAAAAAAGTTTTAAAAGCAACACAAAATAAGTATCGCAAATAACATAGCATGAAAGATTTTTGTTACGAGATGACTTCGAATATTTTAAAAAAATCATCATTCTTTTTTAGAATTTAAGTATTTATTTTAGTTTCCGCTTGTTGATTGTATGGTTTTTTTTTTGTTATTTTGTTTGTCGTTTTAGGGTTTAATTTATATTATTGTAGTGTGGTTTTAATTTATGTTATTGTAGTGTGATTTTAAAATTAAATTTTAAATTTTAATATTATTGAATTTTTTTTGGTTTAAAATTAGTATAAGTTTATTTTAAAGATTAAAAAAGTTATGTCTTATTTTATTTTCAAATTTCTAAATAAATTAAATTAAAAATAGTGATGTGGTAGTAGGTTAAGTGGATTGGAAAAGATATTTCCATTAGTTGTGGGTAAGGAAAGATAGAAGATATAGGAGAGAGAAAAATTGATGTGAAGTTGATATGCTAATGGGTTGAGTGAGTTGGAAGGTTCCGCTCCTACCTCCCTTAGGAGTGGTAAAGTCATCTTCGAGAGTAGTAAAGTCAAGCCACAAATAAAATCATTAATACATTGTATTCTACAAGAAGGATCTGATGAAGGTTGCATTGACAAAGTGTAACACCCCGTTCTTCAAGTGTTTAATTATGAGTCCCTGAGATTTAAGAGAAAGGTAATTCTGGTCCCTTTCGAGAAATGAGTTTCATCCGAGAAGGTTTTGGGTGGGTGTATGTGTTAGAAGTATTAGGCTTCTTGTCACCCTCGTATGACTGTAAAGCTATTTGAGAGTGGGTTTAGAATAAGAGGAGTTGCGGTGCCTCGAAGTTGATCATTGTTTATAGTCCTTTGTGGAATAAGAAGGACATGGTCCCATGCATGCATGCTTTTGGTTTTGAAAGGTGGCAGGGTACGCCCAGCGTAAGCTGGACGTACGCCCAGCGTAATGGGACGGAAGGTTGCGGGTGGCCGGGTGAGTACGCCTAGCGTACCAGGGAGGTACGCCCAGCGTACTCTCAGAAACCCCAAACCCTATTTTTAGGGTCAGCCACTATATAAGGAACATGTTGGTTCACCCCTCAGCCTCTTTATGCTCATCTTCAACCTTAGAGAAACCCTAGATCTCGTATTCTCTCATATTTGGGTGTGTTTGGCTTTGGAAAGCTATTGTTGGAAAAAGAAGGCTTGAAGGAGAAAAGGGAAGTTGTCAAAGAAGAGGAAGAACGTGTGGAGCTTGTAGATCTGAAGAAATACCACCCTTTGGAGCTGGTTTAAGGTATAAAGTTTCTTGCTTGACCTTCATATGGCATGGATCTATGTATTTTGAAGCTTTGTCTCCATTCTTGTCCCAAAAGTCCTCTCCTTGTTTGTATAGTTCGACTTGGTCAAGTGTATTTGTCCTTTCAGACCTTTGGAGAGGTCTTGATTGATAAAAATGAGGTCCCAAGGGCTGTAGTTGTTCCATGTATGAGATATATGGGTCTTAATGGATTAAGACCTTGGATTAAGAGCGTAAGGACATCCCAAGTGATAAAGTCTGAGACTTTATGATTTCTAATCATATTTGGCCTATGGATCTGAAGTTTGGGCTTAAGAGCTTAAGCCATTAAGATGTTAAAAGGACATAATGGATCTCGCAATTATGCCCCGCGTAACCTTCGAGTACGCCCCGTGTAGCGGGCCAGTGCCCTGTTCATTTTGGCGATCATTGCAGTACACCCAGCGTACCAAGGAGAGTACGCCCAACGTACTCCTCCTGTGGACTTTCTTTTGGGCTTTTTTGTTGGGCCATTTGTGGGTTGTTGGTGTTTGGGCCAAGTATAGAAATTATGAATAGAGTATTTTGGGCCCAATTAATATTATGAATATTGGATCTAGGCCCATTTGGTGAGGTGGGCCCAATTTGGTAAATTGGGCCAATGTTGGACCTTATGTGAGATTTGGACTTTGGTCTTGTCCCGATAAGTAGAAGTATGTTCGACCTAATGCTTATGCTTGTTATGTTGGTTAGTTCGGGATTTGCGGTGAGTTGGTGGTTCGGGAGTCTGCTTCTTAAGTTTAGAGTATCGGCATTCGCGAGGTGAGTTATCCTCACTATATCGATAGGGTCTAAGGCACCAAGGCCGGCCCTTTATTGGATTAAGATTCGAATATGGTTATTATGTTATTGCTTGATATGTCTGCATCCTGGTAGCTAGGATGGTATATGCTAGAGACCTGGTTAAGGTCGATTTCCCGATATGTGGAGTGATGCTATGCTAGTGACCGGTTAGGTCGGTAACCTAGTTAGGGTAATGATATGCTATGTGATCTGCTTGATTGGTTTGTTGGCTATGACTGTTATATTATTGTATGTTATGTGCACATGGACTGGAGATGGGTTGAGGCGGGTCCTGCTTTGTGCTGTAGGCCAAGATACCCAGGGCAGACCGGTTGTTCCGAAGGCCCAGCGAGCGGTCCGGATAGGCTGTAGGCCCCACGAGGGTGGACCAGACGTTCCGAGGCTCGGAGAGTGGACAAGGCCGACTAAAGGCCCGATGCGGGCGGACCAGTCGTACTATAGACTCAGAGAGTGGACTAGGTGGGTTGAAGGCCCGGTGCGGGTGGACCAACCACACTGTAGACTCGAAGGACATGACTAGACTCGGAGGGTGGACCCGGTGGATTGAAGGCCCGATACGGCAGACCAGTCACACAGTAAACCCGATATGAATGACTGTTATATGTTCTGTTATGTTATGTATGCTTTTTATGCTATGGGCCGGAAGGCAATATGTTATGGGCCGGAAGGCAAGATGTTTTGGCCGGAAGGCGTATATGTGGTTGGTATTTTGGGGGTATCTCACTAAGCTTTCGGGCTTACGGTTGTGGTTTAATGTTTTTCAGGTTCTTCAGGAGACTGTGGCAAGGCAAAGGCGTGATCGTACCGTTCCTCGCGTTTATGTGTTATGAAATGGACCTGGGAATACTCTGATAAATAATGTATTGGAAACCTTTTTGTAATAATGTTATTAAAATGGATTGTTTTGAAAAGTTTAAATTATGTTGAAAATTTTGGTCGTTACACAAAGCTTTGCTTTTGTGTTCCTCATCTTCAAATCTCAAAATCCGTTTCGCTTCTTCAACTTTCAAATTAACCATCATCAGTATTCAGTTCCCTCTCAAAACCAACATCAAATTTCTTCAGGATTAACAACCTCTTTCTTTGTTCATAATCTCATAAAGTCGACTGCATCTTTCAAGGATTCAATCATTTTCGGAGTTTCACTTTCCAACCATAGTCACGTCGATTTCAGCTCATTAATATCAAGAACACAAGGCAAAGTATGGTATGATCTAATAATTAATCTAAACAAATCATTAATATGTTGGTGATTTTAGTGTCACCAGACATTTTGTACAATTGAGGCAGACATGTGAGCTAAGGGGCTTATTGTTTGTATTATATATTATATGTTTGGTGAATGCGGAGTGCATGCGTATACAAGATCAAATTATAAGTTGATACGATAGAAAGGAGGGGGTCAAGGGGTTGCGGTCCCTTGCAGGGTCCTAGGGGCAGCGCCCTTGGCGATCTTCAGAAATTTGAATTAGTTTCCTTAAGCTGCCCTAACTACCTGAGAGATCTAAGAGATGGGAGAGTCAAGATGTATGACTCTAATTCAAGTAAAATCCACTATTCAACTCTATTAAGTTTTCTATTTTAGATTCTTAGTACATGATGTAATAAGATTGCATTTTGATGTGTTGTAGGATCGAAGAAAAGAAAAGAAGCTTAAAGGAATAAGTGAGCTGAGTCTGATCGCGGAGAAACGGATTTTGATCGCATGATTCAATGGTTGGATCTTTGAGTTGTTGCTTAGAGTTATAATAGATTGCTTAGGAATATGAGATAAGATAGTTTTCATTTGAATTTGCGTTGTAAGGACAAGTTTTCTGCACCTTTTATAAATAAAATAAATTTTGAGTTTTTGTCTTATTTATATGTCCTTGCAATGACATTTGTGAAAATTGATGCTTGTGTATTTCTATTATAAGCAAT